AAGAGATTCTACATGCAATCAGAGATCTCCAAAAAGACTGGAAACAAAACTAATCGAGAAAAGACTGAAATAAATAAGAAGATTTTTGCTTCTTTTTCACAGAACAAAAAACAAATCTTCTAATTAAGGCTTAGGCTTGAAGAGAGTTAGGTAGAGAGGCAATCGATATCGAATAGTAGTAGAAATAATTAAGGCTGAGGCTATGACGATAAAATCAAAGTCACTTCATTCTAAAACGTGTCCCGATACAGAACAATTTATTAGTCGTATCCCTAATGTTTTACACATTTTTCAATTTGATCCTTCTATCAATATTTGTTACAATACGTTTGTTATGTGAGGAAATTAGTCTTATATTTAGCTTCTCTTACTTTCTTGAATTTTATCACCAATTTCTTTCCTCTTTTCCTTTCTGGAAAATAAAAAAAAAACCTCTTAAAGATAAAATAAATCTCTTGACAATTACATTGGTTCAATCGTGTATTGTATATGTGTTATGTAAAAAATTAATCTTTATTTAGACACAACCTCAACTTAAATAATAAATAATAAAGATATTTGATCCCTATTGAGAGACATCTTCAACTCAATTCAACTCCGTAATAAAAAATAAAGCTAACAAGAAATGAATTGGTTATAATTTGAAACTTTAGAATATGCATAAAAATTTATTTTTAAAATTTATATATGTGTGTAATAAAATGTTATAAATAAATAAATACATATATATATAAAGAGATAATATAATTGTTAGATACCAATGATGTGGCATGTATAATATTTATTATACATTCCATAATTTTTCATTAAAAAAGTGTATAAATATATAAAAAAAACATTTTATTATTTGATTTTTACTTTCTTAACATTTTTTTTCAAATACTCTATCTACTGATCAAATATATTCTTAATATTTCTGATTATATGCAATAAAATAATGTCTTTAATTTGAATAAAAATCAACTAGATTGGAAAGAAGCATATAATGAGAAAATTTTTAGGCTCTGTTTGAGGTTATGTTTAAAAAATATTTTTTAAAAAAATTATTTTTTTTAAATTAATATATTTTTTATATTTTTAAATTATTTTTATGTGATGATCTAAAAATAATTTTTAAAAAATAAAAAATATTTTTTATTAGTACTTTGTGAAATTTAATTGATAAATTATTTTTCTTAGGACTCCGTAGTGACAGAATAATATGTTAGGGTCTGATTTGAGGGTTTCCCAGAATTGCGTGTGTTAATTTGTAGTTTCCAAAGTACGAAACCAACCTTATTGATGGCAACGATGCCCGTATGATTTGGGGCCTTTTTGGACATTTAAGCAAGTCTTGTGGGCCCCTTTGTCAGTTTAAGGTTTCAACTGGACAGGGCCTATTTCACGACATCATCACTTTGACCTGCTCTGGGCATTAACTTCCGTCCGAATCGGAGGCCACGCCACGACAGTTGTGGGTGTCGTTTCTGTAAATAGGACCAATGTACGATTGGATGAAATATAGGTCGTTTGGATTCCATTAATTTAATATCAATAAACTAAAACCGCACGGAATTCATGGATTGACTACCGAAATATCTTTTTCTTTCTTATTGATTGAGTCAGACACCTTTTATTATATTTTTGGTATATTCTGATTTTTGAAAGTATTGTTTTTTAATTTAGCGGGCATTTAGAAATGAAGTAATTTTTTTATATATATTCTAAAAGTGTATTTCATTTACAAAATATTAAATTGATTAAAATTTTTAGTATTGTTTATAGTTTTTATGTGCTGATATAAAAAATTTAAAAATAATTTTAAAAAATAATGCATCATAATACTAAACAAACAAATACTATGGTGATTGTAATTTCTTGTATTCATATTATGGCTAGATTATAATTCTTTTCTAAATTGATGTATCTTTTTAATAAACATCTTTTAACTTAGAAATATAATTAATTAAATAGTTTTTTTTTTTATTTTTAATGTTCAAATTTAAGAAATTAAATGAGATATAAGACAATAATATTTATTTTACCATCAAGCCTAGAGATTGAGATTTTTTATATAAAAGAAAAGCTACACACATGAGGATGAATACTGTGAAAATTAGCTATGAAACATCTAAAAAACTATACTTTAAAATTTTAAGCAACAAAATACAAAGCCAAAAATATAGATTAATAAATGAGTAGAATTCATGAGAATGAATGTTGAATAATCAATCATTATCCTGTGATATTAAAGAACAAGTCGTCTATGGAGTAGCCATCATGAACATGTAAATCGAGGATAAACAGTCATGTGGGCAATCAACATTTTCATGCTTTCTTTTTCCCAAGTTTTTTTTCTAATATAGAGGAATATGACAATTATGTTGAAAAATATTGAACATGGTAGGCATGCATTTGCCTATCTTTTACAATCATGTACTTTCAAAAATCAATTTAATTATCTATTAAATAAACTTTAATTTAGTGCCACTTGAAATCGAGAAATCCTTCAAATATCCAAGCAAGCTTTTATTTTTATTCTTTTGTTTTGGCAAAAGTAAACTTCCATTGATTGCAATTCTAAATCTATGCATATTCATCAATAATATTAATTTTATTAAGTAATAATTCCTTGATGATAAAATAAATAACTCAGAATTAAATGATATGGAATAAAAATTAAGTCATAGATCAACTTAAAAAATTAAAATAACAAGTTATAATAGTCTTAGTTCCGAGTAAATCTACTGGTCATCAATTTAAAACACCAATTTTTTCTTATCATCAAATGTTTATACATTAAAAAAAATAAAAAAGATATCAGACTTTTCATGTATATTATAAGAGGAAATATTATGGATTTGCTAAATGTTTTCTCTTTGTTGTAGTTTTTTCTTTTCATCATCTAAATTTTTTTATTTGATTTTTTTATATTAGTATAATTTAAAATTGATTTTTTTTATTTATTTCATTTTGCTTGGCTTAGTATTAGCTGCTCGCGGTGTCGAAAAAAAAAATTAACTTGTGTTTAACTTGAAAAAATTAAATGAAAATAAATTCAATTAAAAAATTAAAACTAAGAAACCAAATTTGAGCATTAGACAAGTATTAAGCTTTTTTTCTGGCAAACATAAGGATTAAATTTCACAATCAAGGGAGAAAGTCAACCCCCTTGTTTTTTTTCTTTATTTCTTTATTTTAATTCTTTTAAATTGAGTTTACTTGTAATTGGACTTGAAATTTTTTTTAATTGCCTAGATACTAGGATTCCATGGTGTTGAGAAATTTTTTTGATTAATTTACTTATTTAAAACAATTAAGGTTTGAAAAATCAAATTTAAAACAAAAAACAATTAGGCACAAAAAAAGACAAGCAAGATAATTTGATTGGTGTGTGAAACGCATATGACACATGTAGGGTGAAGCCTATGCGCTTTGGCAATGTATGCAACTTTCTCAGGTGTTGGAACATCGTCATCCATGGTTCTATTTAAAGTAGCACAACAAGCTCTTGCCAATGGTATGGTATTCGTCGATAAAGAGGCTTTAACAACTTTTTTTTATTATTTTTTTTCTTTCTCTTCTTCTCGGGATTCGAGTTGGACTACCAAAATTAAAGGTGTCCTATCATTTTATTTTTATATTAAATTTAATTTTAATTTTTCTATTTATATTTTTTTAAATCAATTTCATCTTTAAACATTGATTTTGTTAGAAGTTATGTTTCATAATTTTTTTTAGCTTTTTTTTATATGGATTTTTATTTTTAATTTTATTTTTCAAAGGTATATTTGTTAAAAATTGAACTTTATAATTTATTTAATTTTTTTCCATGGGTTTTGGAATTAAAAACAAGTTAGGATAAGTAAGATGAGCTTGTTAAAAAAATATATATAAATTTTAATTCAATCATAGAACCAGTTGAAAGTTTACAAGCACATTTTAAAGTTCAATTCTATTAGATAGTGTTTGGTATGTTGGACAGTTAATGAATAGGACATAGCTAGAAAAACAATTATGTTGTATTGTGTTCGGTATGCTTTGATATGGACTAAACAATTTGTTTTATTATGTGTTTTATAGATACTGGACAGATCCGATTAATCCGAAATCTTAACTAGTTCTAATTAAAAAAAAATGGTCTAGTTTTTTTTTTTTTAAAAAAAAAGAATAATTGATCCAATTGGTAAAAAATCTTAGTCTAGTTAATCCATGATAAAACATAGATTAAAAATTCATTGACTTTATTTTAATTATTTTTTGTTAAAACAATGGTATTAAAAATTCATCAATTTAGATTGATTTTTCTGACACATAATCTGCACCTGAACCTTGTTACATATTAATCTTAAGTCATGTTTTAATAAAGTTACTGTAATTTAACAAAAAGAAAATGAAATTACTTAACACACGGAGCTTGAGGCTTAAAAATGATTAATTGAAAAATGAAAGAAGAACACAGTAGAAGAAGAAGAAGAATGACCGAGTCTCTGCACTAGCAGCAGAAGTTCTACTTCTTCAGGGCAGGTTCATTGATAGCATAAAGGATATTACTGGTTAAACAATGGAAAAAGCAACGCCTTTCTATGTTTGGCAAAGAACCAAGTACAAGTAGCTTCAAATCAAGTACATTTATAGCGATTCATTCGAATCAAGCCTGGCTTACATGACTTCCAGAACAAACTGTTATTATATTTTAAAAATATTTTTATTTTTTAAAATTAATAATTTTTTATATTTTCAAATTATCTTAATGTCCTAATATTAAAAATAAATTTTAAAAAATAAAAGAATATTGTTTTGATCCATTTTAGAATTAAAAACACTTTAAAAAAGGCTCTATTTTTATATGTTGTTACCAAATTCTTGATGGAACCAATCTGGTATATAATCTTGAAGATGTCCTCATGACCATTCAAGATAGAAATATGAAATATGCTATAAATATTGTGCTCAATTTTTAAGATCAACTCAGGATATTCAGGAACTGAATACAGGAAAACTATTCATGCAAAATAAGAACGACTTTTATAACATGAACGCAAGCATTTTCTTACAGATGTGAAAGCATTCTGTAGAATAATAATACATGGAAGTTAAGCAACCTTTGTCTTGAGTTTCTTGGAAAAGAGAGGAGCTTTATTTGGCTTGAAAAGTGACCGAGACGTATAAGTTGAATGGATCATGTCAACGAATAAACGGAAATGCTGCCAAATGAAGAAAATGACTGGAAAAGAAGCAACGACAGCAATAGGGATAGAATATGGTAGTAATTTATTGCTGAAAACAAGGAAAAATGTTGCCATAAAGGCTACCATCATTGCCCCAATTGATATGAAAAGTGTTGTGAGTCCGATAATCAACCTGTTAGGCAATGACCAAAGAAAATTTTGTTCTGCGTACCGAGAAGTGCGAATTGACAAGAAGGTTAACAAGGATGAGGCAGAGGTTACTAGAGATATTGCATCTGATATGGCAAAGAATTTGAATGCAATTTCCTTAAGGAAAACAGGAGTCCCTTTATCTTGTAGATTACCTCCTGGTACGGTAAAAGCTGCTGCAAAAACCACAGTGGCAATAAGTGTTGCTACAAGCATGCATGAATCAGCAGTATCTCTCATCCATTGCTCCCCTTCTTTCATCAAGTCCTTGTGCTGTTCTATAAATAAAGCTCCAGGAGTTTTCCCATTAGTATTTTTTTCTTCAATGTGCCGTGGTTGAACGACTTTTTTCACTTCCTAGAAATCATTATCATGTAGAGAGACTGTGAGATTCATATATAAAAGGAGAATATCGCATGTGCATATGAACATCTTATCCGCCTATCATATTGTGATCCACATTTGATGGACGAATTAGGTTGGCTTAATGCATATGACCTACAATCAAATGTATTTGGTTGATGGAAAGAGTGAGAAAAGTCACCTCAAACCACAGCAATTCGCGTTGCAGTTGTAAAGCTGCTCCTGGTATAACATTAAGTCGGCTTGGTGATTCCAGTACTTTTGCAGCCAAATGCAGCATATTATTTCCTTCTCTATCTTTGTATGTTGTTATCAAATTCTTGATAGAACCAATCTGGTATATAATCTTGAAGATGTCCTCGTGACGATTCAAGATAGAAATATGAAATATGCTATACATATTGTGCTCAACTTTGAAGATCAACTCAGGATACAAGCGAATGAGTATTGTTAGAAAGTCAAGATTCCCTCTTTCTGCAGCAGTGAATATCAATGGGAAGGGCTCTCCAATCTGACGAGAAATTGTTGCATCATCCAACAATACAACTTGTTCCCAAAGGTACTGGATTATGTCAAGTGCTTGTTTGTGCATAAGTTTCTTCATCCGAGCCAATTTGACTTCTGAAACTGAGGATTAAATATAACAAAACTGAATTGTGGGAAATGGGGTTAAGTTCTAAATCAAAGATGTAAAACATAAATGTAGCTAGCCAACGAGTGAACAGATCTGATAAATCAGTAACATTTCGAAATATTTTGTGTGTTGAGGTATACAATATATCACTTCTGCAAGAATGATGGTGTGTTTAAAAGTTTAATTGCTATAAATTTCTTTGTGCATCGTTTACATGATTGTTGGATATTTTTTAAAAAACAAATATTGAAGATAAAATGATAAGAGCTACTTGTTGGTGTGAGTTATTGCATAAGATTTGAGGGAGAAATTGTAGGAGAATTATTGCAGAAGATTTGAAGGAGAAATTGTAAGGAACAAATTTAGAATTTGACCGTTACCTCTAATTAAGCTATATTTATGTATAAGAATAATTACCCGCCTAGATTAGAATTATCTACCCGATTAGAATTCTTGTACAACCTATATAATCATATACTTGTGTACAGTTGAAATGTATCAATAAGGAGCAAATGAATATTCTTGATGCTTTCTATCACCAATTCCTTATAACAGACAAGCTTGCAAGCTTGAATATATGCATCCATGAAATAGATGTATAAGGTGCTCATGAATATGATAAAGATACAAAGTTAATCTTTTGCATTCTCTAACAGGATGAAATTTTCGGATTGGTTTTCTTTCTAAGGAAATAGAGATTTGGAGCATCAGAGAACTAACAGGGGTTGAGGCATTTGTTCCAAAATCCTGGAGGACTTTGATCGACAATGTTTGAAGGCATACAAGACTTCTGAGAAAATGCATGCAATGCCGTCAGCTGATGTTCATCACGAGCATAGGCCAACCCGCGATGTTCTTTTAGCATTTTCCATGCTACATCTGAGAACAAAAGGATTCAAAAATATGTAAACAAGTTGGATTTTCAAAGGCTTACGAATAAGTTGTCTCAGGGTTGAATGTTGAATTTCTCTTCTGGGTAGTAGCAATCACAAACTAAAACAGATTGATTCATTTATGAAAATAAATTTAATATCTAAATGATAGCAAACTATCGAAAGGATTGCTCACCATATATGTCACTGTTGATCAAAGCAACAAGTAACTTTATGCGATCATCATCGGTTAACTGCTCGCTTGTTTCATCATAAAGATATGATACCATCCCTCTATGCCCCAATAGAGTTGCCATGTAAATTGGTAACAGGTTTCCTCTACCTCGAGTCATTGCCAAATCGCGTTTTTCCTCCATCATGACTCTGGCAAGTGCCTCAACTCCAGATATAGCAGCAAAGCAAAATGCTGTATTGCCAGCACTACTTCTATAAGTTAAAGCCTCTTTGCTCATCAATCCAACAAGCTGTTTCACAAAATGAGTGTGCTCCGCAGCAGCTGCAATATGTAGAGCAGTCTCCCCTCGCTTAGTTATCCTAGCATTAACTTCTCCAGGAAATAACTTATAAATGCCTTCAGCTGTGTCCCAATCACCACTCAGAGTGGCTTGATACAATTGCAAGTGCCTTTTTCTTTCCACTGTCAGGAAGAAATAATTAAAAAAGTATTGATTTTATAGAAGACTAATGCTTTACATTAAACATCATTAACTTGCAATTATTGAATAGAACTTCTAGATTTCATACTGTCAGATGCAGGAAATCGAACAATAGAAATGGAGAAATGAAATTTTCACTGCATCATACCCATTTAGGTCACTATGATTACAATTCTTGTTTTTTCCCTTCTTCTGCTAAAATCACATGAAATTCCCACTAATGTTTTCAATCATTGAAAACGTTACAAGAGAAACTTTTTTTTCTCTCTACTGGGCCATTGCAAAATGCAGACTCCCAAAATATAAAGTTAACAAGAACTATAATTAAACCTCCAGCTTAATAAATTACCTCCATCACCAGTAGGAGGTGGTTGTTGAGGGACTACTACGAGCTCAATATTATGGTTATGCCGTCCATTCTGGACACTATCTATAGCAGCATTAATGTTAATGCCATCTGTAATCTCCAGTGCTGCCATGTTTCCCAATTACCAGGTCTTGATCAGCCTAAGAAAAACAACCCAAGAGCATGTACTTTGTAATCAGAAAAGATGACCCGGGTAGCAATATAGCTTAATGATCAACATATATCAAGGACATACCTCGAGCTGGGAAAATGTTTGGCTACAGAGAGGAAGCCACGATGAAATGGCTCAGAAACAGCGTGGAAAGGAGACGAAAGGAACTCTGGTTTCTAAAGCTGAACTTCTTTCCAGTCAAACTACAAACTACAAATGTGCCCTTCATTTATCTGACAGGTTTTGATTTGATTCCTCTACTTGCAATTGAGCCAATGCTACCCTCAACCGGTCCGCATAGTGCTCATCGTTTCTTCCCTTAAATCAAATATTTATCCCATAACCATACATGTGTTCTTGACACAACTTCCTCATCACACAATAATCTTCTCAAAATTCATATTCGTTTTTTTCATCGTTATCTAAAATTAAAACTCACAAGACTTATGATTATGGAATACAAATAATCATAAGTTTTATACAAATAAATTTAAATGTGATATAAAGATATAAAGCTTTGAGTAGAATAAGGGTAAAATTGGTGCAATTAGGAGGAGAACAACATAATCGAAACCCAACAAATAGATGGAGGACATATTTGTAGTTTGTCCTCAATAAAATAAGACCTCAATGAACTTAGAAGCTTCGTCCAACCCAACTTGTCAACGTGTTCCTCGGCAAGTTGACTTAATAATAATGAGATATGTCTTCATCAATTGTGTTTTCAAGTGCCGGTAAAAATATTAATTGTTTTAAATTTAATTTTCTTCAAAAAAAATAATTTTTTCAATATTTTTTTATAGTTTTAATAAGTTGGTATCAAAAATAAATATTAAAAAATAAAAAATATTATTTTAATACATTTATAAAAAAATTATATTTTAAAACGCAGCCTCTACATATTCTTTTGATGTATCTAATACTTTGGAGAAGATCGAAAAGAGCGGGCCGGCACATCTGCAATCTATGGACACATAAGAAAAACTGGAGTCAATAAGGACACATTTTTTCAGAAATAATATATTACTTTTTATATTTTCTTAAATTCATTTATAACTTAATCTTATTTTTATTTTCCTATACAACTTTTTTTTATAGATAAAACTTAAAGATGTGAAAATATAGAATTTTCATGTTGATTAAAAACTTTTTATACATAGTGATAAGATTTGTTTTTATTAATGATTTATACAATATAATAAGCGTTGTATGAAACATTTTTCTGCTCATAAAAAATTATCAAAATTAAATAATTAAATAAAAAATATTGAACTATTTGGAAATTAATATATACATGTAAATAAAAAATCAAATAGATCTTAAATAAATAATTTATTATTTGTTTGGTGTCCATTAAATAAGTACAATAATATGAATAAAAAAATATTACATGTTTTGAATAATGGAAGGACATTACAAAAGCATCTAAATTAAACAATGGTTCTTAATTAATTTAAAATAATGAATATTTTATTGTGGTGAAGAATGAATCTTTTCTTGTTAAGAATACAATAATGCTCAAACTCTAAAGAATAAAATACGAGGAAGAAGACAGTTTAATGATGTTGATATGTTTTTTTTTTTTTTGAATTTTGAAGCCATAATGTTTGTAAATCTAAGCATAACACAAAAGGAGAGAGAGAGAGAGAGCTGCTATGATGGGTAAATTTCGTTAACGATTTTTTTAAGACTTTGTGTTTTGAATAGAAAGAATTTTGATTTTTTTAATACACCTTGCGCCTTATAAAATTAAAATTTATTTGACAAAACCTATATTTTGATTTCATATTATTTTTCAGTGAAAAAATTAAATTATCACACCAAAAATACAAGGTGTTTGATATAATTCGCATTCATTAGATTATTATATTAAACTGTATTTTGTTCATTGAAATTTATTTGATTGTAATTATTTCATTTATAAATTATATTGTATATAAAAATAGCATTATGTGAATAATAATTTTACTAAGTAAATTTTTAGTGAAAATTAGAGAAATCACAAATGATCTCATTTAAAATTTAATCTCCTTAGATGGGATTTTTTAGACCATATTTATTTACCATATTAACTTTTTGTATATATAAATAATAATATATATGTAAAAAAAATTGATTAGTTATTTTGATGTCAATCTTATAAAATATAAGTAAGATAACATAAATTATAATAAACAAAAAAATAATTAATTTATTGAAAAATATAAATTAACAAGATTTATTATATGCATCAAACCATCCAAATGCATGAAAAATAATTTTAGAAGATAAATTATAACTTTAAAATAAACATATATAAAAACTTTCTAAAAGAAAAAAAGAAAAAAATCATAACATGGATATAAGCTTTTAAAAAATTAAATATATATGTAAAAATATAACAACTAAAGAGGAAGTTGAATAAAAACTTAAGTTTTAAAGATGTTCAAAAACTCTTTCACAATTAATTTATATTATATAAAAAAACTTAATATTGTAAATTAAATTATATATATATATATATATATTAATTAGACTAGCTAGCAAAGATATTTGATTTATTATCACAAAAACATGCTAAACAAAAAACATATAACAAGAGATTAAAGTTGATATATGTTTAAAACTATAAGCATGTAAAGACATAACTAGTAGCAAGCATATTTTTAATATAAAAATAATAATAAAATACTAGTATATAAACTAAATATATATTCAAATTTACAGTTGATATAAAAAAAACGTAGCATACATGCTAATAATAAAATTAGTTATAGTAATGAATGTTTTGTCCTTAAAACTTCATTGTTATTCACTTTACAACTAGTATATTTGCAATATGCTTTTTAATATTTCAATAATTTCATATTTATTTAGATGTATTTTTAAATAAGATTTTTGAACCAAACATTATGTAACTAAATATTTTTTGACAATATGAATCTAAATTTTGATTTAAAATGAAAACTAAATCATAAAAAGAAAGAGAAAAGGTAAAAATAAAGTGAGAAGGGGTGTAAAATCTGAAAAAAATTAAGTTAAAAACTCTTTATCCATCTTTTTTTAATAGTGAATTTTAGAAATTAAAAAATTGAAGAATTAATTAGAATCAATTTCTACCATTATCAATGTTTGATGATTCATCATAAATTAAGAATTAAATCTAAAAAATTAAGGGTTTTTTGAGTGAAAAAAATTAAAAATTCTTTTAGATTAATTTTCTATTCATTTATAATTAATTTGAACCATGATAATTAAAATGGATTTCTGACAGGAGTTTCTTTAAGAAGGGGATTTCGAAACGAGGAGAGCTTATAAACAAGTAGGAAATGTGATATTGTTTTTGGTAAAACGCCAAACCATTATGGAAAGCTAATATTTCAAGGGTGAGGTTGAAACTCTTCAAAACTTTGGAGCTCCAGGGCCCCCATAGCAAAGCGTGGCTGTGGCGCTGAGTGGGTGAAGGCAACTGGAGAAACAAACAACGGAGAAAAGCAAAGCCTTTTTTCTGGTGGGAAGGGCATCTTAGAAGCCACCAAGTTCAAGTGACTGAAAATCAAGTGAATTTCTACTGTCAATTTAGAAAGAAACTCCCTAAAAAATCAGGTAATCGGCCAGGAAGATGAAATAAGAAACCTTAATATCACAGTAGCTCAAAAGGATAAGGAAATAATTCGGCTAAAGGAGCCGCTAGACAGCTGAGAAAGCTTTAGAGGTAGACCTCCTTCCCCTCCCCCCCACTGTACAAATTTCAACCCAATGCAGGGCTAAGTACAAACCAGCAGTTATATATATTATATAAAATGCATCCATTGATATATATTTTACGTTGTTGGACTCCGTATTGATTCTATGGATATATGTTTTACAGTCTCGAATTAATGACGTCCCATTTGGTGCTTCTTCCCCTCTGGCATGCGACGGCGTGTATTTTTCTTTTTGTTTCCAGCTTGTTCGATGCTCGCCGAGGAAAACTTTTATCAGTTTTTGAACAGTAGCACACAGAAACTCAGTCGTTGTCGCGGAGCACTTTGCGAAATTTATTTATATAAAAATTAAAATAAATGTGTAGAAAAAGGCACGGGTGGAAAATGTATTTACCCAGGTCTTGTTTTTTAAAAAAAAAATAAATTATTTTTTAATATTTAGTAGTGTAATGAAAAATAAATTAAAAAACAGTTTCCAATACTTAGTTATGTCATAAAGGATGAACTGGAAAATAATTTATTAATATTTTATATTTTTTAATTTTATTGATATAATAAAGAACAAATCTTACAAATTAAATAGTTGAATAAGAAAGAAATTGAAAAAAAATATAATTTTATAAATTATATTAAATAAAATAATAGAAATCAAATCTAAAAAATTAAAAAAATTAAAGTTGAAAAAATTAAAATAATAATAATCAATATTTCATAAATTATTTCAAATAAAATAATTAACAATCAAAATAATAAGAATTAAATTTGATTAATAAAAAATTACAATAAAAAAAAAAGCAAATAACAATTATAAAAATAAAGATCAAAGTTAATATAAAAATTTAATTTTAAGGTATGAAATTAAAAAATAAATACTCAAAATAAAATATATATAGCAATTAAAAGATTAAGGATAGAATTTGATATAATTAGCAAATAATGATATTTCTAAATTTTTCACAATTTTCAGAAAGTGTTTTTTACCTGAATTTTTCAGAAAAAAACTTTTTTAAAAACCAAGTTAAATTTTTTTTTTACTGAAAAGTATTTTCCATTGATTAACTTTCATAAAAGCAAACAAATACAAAAAAATTTATAAAGTGATTTTCTGAAAATTATTTTTCAGAAAACAAACACAGTAAAAAAATAAAACACTTTTCTAAAAATCAATTCAATTTTTTTTTACTGAAAAGTACTTTCTGCTAATCAAAAAATATTTTTCATTGAATATTTTTTCTATTAACAAACAAATATAAAAAAATTTTAAAAATAATTTTGCAAAAACTAATTTTCAAAAACAAACATTACCAATAAAAACTGTTTTGTCCCATTCTCGTTTTTTCATTTTACAATAACATGTCTCTCCTTGTAAACATCATGACAATAAAAACTAAATTGTAAAAAATCCATACATGCACGCATTAAATTAAATCAATTCTTAAGAATCAAATTAGAAAAAAGAAAATTGAAGGACCAATAAATCCTAGGAGAATAAAAATCATCAT